AGTTGCGTGTGTGTGTGACAATGTTGTGTGCGTGTTAGACGATATTGTGTGTGTGCGAAAGTGCTGTGTGTGAAAGAGTTGTGTGTGAAAGAGTTGTGGGTGACAATGTTGTGTGTGTGTGAGAAAAGAGTTGTGTGTGTGTGACAAAGTTGTCTGTGAAAGAGTTGTGTGAAAGTGCTGTGTGTGTGCAAGAGTTGTCTGTCACAATGCTGTGTGTGAAAGAGAGAGTTAAGTGCGACAAAGTTGGTGTGAAAGAGTTGTCATTCAAGCCATAAAGTGCCACGTCTGCCACACAAAAGCAACGTGAATGCCACGCCTGCAACACAAAAGTAACGTCGATGTCAGCAAGTGCCACGCCCGCCACACAAAAGTAATGTCGATGTCACCAAATGCCATGCCCTGCCACGCAAAAGGCCGCTGTGTGCGAGAGAGTTGTGTGAGACAAAGTTGGCGGGGCGGACGGCTGCAGACGGAGGGCAGACGAAGCAGGCGGGCGGCGGACGGGAGCGCACAAAAAAAATAAATACCCCCACACAAAGATGTGGGGAAAAGAACTCACAATGACCGCCCCGAGAACTGCGTGAGTGAAGGTATGTGCAGTATGTATGTCAGTGTATGTCGTGCAAAAACACTGCCAGCTTCATGATGCCTGTGGAGAGAGCTGCTGCCCAGCCAGCGCAACGAAGTGCTGGCTCTATGTCCTCGCAAACCCAGCGAATGACCCAGCTGGCAGCCATCCATTTTCCGCGCAGCCAGTTGGCTCTCAGTCTAAAATGTATATCACACCAAGATAATCGTTTTGCAATTTTGGCCCAGTTTACTTTGGGTGTTTAGCTGGTTTTAGCTTGATGCAGTTCTTGAAAGAGACTCCGTTGATCTCGACTGCTACAAGTTCTTATAGCTCAGCGCACCGGAGCTATTGGGCATGGGGAAGACTCTCCTGAACTTGGAAGGCCAGTGGACACCTCAGACTTGGCATGACGGAGCTCTCAAACAACGCGCTGCAGCTTACAGCTTTTGAATTAAGTCACTCCATAGTCGCTTCCCAAAGGGCATAGATCCAGGCCAGATTCTAAAGGGTACAGCCAATTATTCATACATACAATGGTTTTAAGACCCCTCTCCAAGTCATGATATCATTATCAGGAACATCCACGTCAGTTGCATGGTTTCGCGACGAATGATGCTGTTCGGCAAAATGTGCTACCAGCAAATACAATTCAAACATCAAAGTGCATCCAAGAGAAAACACTGAAAATGTATGGAAAAAGTGTACTGCAAGCAGTTTGCGTTTTGAACATGTCTCCAGCTTGAAACAGACTCTTCAATCTCACCACATGTCATCTCCACTCGCTCCACTCGTTCCACTTCCCCTGAGGGTGACCGGCTTGGCACCGCGAGCCTTCAGCTTGGACACCTGACAGGATTCCATCACCAAACAGCATGGTGGCTCGATGTGGCTCGTGGCTCACCATAGACCTTCATCATCCTTCATCATCCTTCATCATCCTTCATCAAAATCATCAAACAGCATGTCTCTTGCACGGCCATCAGCGCAGTTGGGCGTGTGGCCGTGACCCCGATTTCATTCGAGAGTGTAACGCCACCAGGCCCCCAAAAATATGTGGTTTTGAGCGTGTGTTTTACAGAAATATTTTATGTGGTTTTTCATCTTTGATCATATGAAAGATCAAAGTTCTTGAGAGATGTATTGTTTTTGGTGTGTTAATCCTTAGCTCTATTCTTGGCTGCTTGCTATTTGTAGCTCTATTGGTTTTTGATAGGTGGTCTTAGTATATGAATTGCAAAATTCTTTGCCCAATAACATCTTGAAACATAGAGATTCATTGTGTCAGTTGGTACTTCATGTATATATTAATATATAGGTACTACCTAGGTATACAGCTATTGCAAAGACCGTATATATATATATATATATATATATTCATGTATACATATACATGGCACTTGGTATTTGCATTGGTGGTTTCTGCTATTGGACTGCCAGGTCGTCTTTTGGTTGACACGACAGTTCCAGTGGAACTCTCTTAGCAAATGAAAGTGCAAATTCCAATCTACTGTCCCTGGTCAAGTAGTTGCATTTTTTTTTGCATACTTCATGGTAAGTTGCTGCATCAATGCACAAGCAAGGCAGCCATTCTATAGATACAATTGTTTGGTAAGGTTGCTTAAGTGTTTCTTTTACGTGGTTTTGTGCCCTTTTGGTTACCATGATAAACTTATACTGACATAGTTTAAGTTTTACCCACAGTCATGAGTACATTTATAGTACTAAAATGTCTGCCGTTATATTTGCAGTGACACAGCAGTTTCTCAGGCTACGTGATGCCGTTGTGCTACTTGCCACTGGCTTAATATATAAACTTCGCAAAGTTATGTCGATATGCCGCAGTCCTTTTCTCTAACTTAAAAAAAAAAAAACATGTACGTTGTTCTTTTCTTTCATAATCCGTTTCTTCCTTTCGTACTCCGTTCTTGTATATGCAGTAGTCCGTCCCTTCATTGCACGTTCCGTCAATAGACTTTCATAGTCCCATTGTTCACGTTAGCTTTCCGTAGCCGGCCGTTAGGGAGGGGCTATATATAGGAGGGCTAGGAGAGGGGGGGGTCTAAAAAAAAAAAAACTTGTTTTTTTTTTTTTCCTTGGACCCCCTCTACCCTGAGGGAAGCAATATGTATATAATATATATATACACACTATTTCTTTTTCCTCCTTCCTTCCTTTTCCCTGGGGATCTTTATTATGGCTCTTTGGACATCTCTGGCAACCTCTGGGGAAGTCTAACAATATTTTGGGATCTCTAGCAATACCTTTAAAGTGGTTTCCAATGTGTTCAAGGTGCTTCATGTCGATCCTTTCATGACATAAAGTGACATTATCTAATTAAAGGAATATTAAAGGTATATGAACATAAATGATCAAACATGATGTAGCAGAAACACTGCATTCCTAAAAACGTGGAAAAATGGGGACCTGACAGCGTGCCTTTCTGTTTCATTCATGGTACCATTTGGTACCAAACGTAATGGGATGAAATTTGCGAGTTGAACAAGTCTCAGGAATTCTCAGGATGTAGCAAGCTGAAAATTCACGAGCTCTCCAAGGAGAAAGTAGCTCAGCTTGGCTCAGCTTGGCTACCCAGAAATCCATAGCGATGCGAGAATTTGAAGCATCCAATGTGCCATTCAAATTTAGATTCCCATCAAATGAAGAGTGGATAAAACTGGCATGCATGTTGAAGGCTTGCCTGACGCTCAGCCGCCTTCAGTGCTTGTTGATACGCCTGAGATCCAAAAGTAAACTGTGATCACAAGGCGCAAAGGCGGGATGTCTTTCACCGGTGAGGCAAATTCATGCAAATTCATCCTAAAATTTTGTGACTTCTGAAGTGAACAATTCCAGTTCCAAGTGAATCGCCCAAGTCCAGCCTTGACCATGCCCTGATCCAGGAACAACTCCGGGTCGAGCTTTCTCGCTGTAGGCTGCATCAGGTTCACAGTAGTCACAGTATGTCACAGTAATCTGTAATGTTCTGTAACATTCTGTCATATTCTGATTATTCTGTAATTCTGAAAACCAAAACAGCACAAAAATCAGAGAAGCTCTTTCTGAGAAGCTTGCACAGGCTTTAAACGCTTTAAATATCTTTAAATATTCAAGCGATGACCCCCTGCAGGTTTGTGGCTCTTTCGGTCCGGTTGCCTTGAAGAAGGGCTTCTCAAAGAGTTTGGCCAGCGTCGATACGGCTGGCAACTGCCACGTGCTGATCAGACCCAACAAAAACCGCGCATCGAAAGAAAGTCAAGTGGAGTGGACCTGCATTGAGTAGTATATTGAATTGTTTCAGCAATCTATGCTGCGGGTGTTTGCAGTGTACGTACGTTGCACTTTCTGTCACAAATCATGACAGACAGATCCAATTGGTACATTGTGGACCTGCTACCAAATGCAAAAGAATGAGCAAAAAAACTGGAAAACAAATGGCAACGGCCACTTGCTGACACCAGGGCTCCCTACATGATGCCGAAACAGCAGCTGAATCTCCCACAAGGAGCTCTGAACCACCTGTACCACGAGGAAACGTTCAGCCATGGTGTAGCACTTAGTAACCTAGTACCAGGAATCACATGCTGACAATATCTGACAACTGAATAATATTGAATTCATTGACCTTGGATTGATAGAGCTTGAAAGCTTGTCGCATGCTGAAAGTGAATGTCCGAACAGTGCTAGGCTGCTAGGCAGCCATTCGTGTGGAGCTACTTCATTGCCCAAGAAACAAGGCCTGCTCGCTGGCTTCTTGCAGATTGGCATCCAACTCAAACGGATCCTGTCCACAGAGTGCCCAAAGGATTATTATACAGAACGATCAGAACGGTGGTCTGTTGAGATCAGATTCCTCAAGTCAGCGGGATCGACCTTGATCCTTTGGACATTTTTTGGACATTTTGGACTTAGAATTCACAGATGGCGTTTCGTGGAGTGCTGCCCTGCCCAGGTACCTACTTTCAACTCAAGGCAAAGCTCCCAGCAAATCACTCACTCTAATGAAAGTAGGTGTGACACGCGTACAAATGTCATACATATATATACATAATATATAATTATATATAATCTATTGTATTCTTATTATTTCTTATTGTATACGTTCAAATACGACTGTACAATATCATGAACATATTATGACAAGATTGTACCAACAGCGCTGCCTTCTGCATGGCTGCGCCTCTGTGGCCACGGGGAATGGTGGGGAATGCCTGTGAAAAGATCCTGGTATCGGATGCAAAGATAAGTCCAACACAGTAAACTCATGTAAAAACAGCCAGCGAACTCAATAAGCAAACAAAAAGAACAAAAAACATGTATTGTGTGTTGAAAGCGTAATTAAAGTCGACCCTTTCACACTATTCCGCAGGTTGATCTGCCAAACAAACCGGCCCCCGAAGCCCAAGATGCCTGCGTACCAACTTAAGAAGTTCTATCGAATGCACAAGTCAAATTTCCAGGACTTCTCTTTCTCTGTCGAGAAACCAAAAGCCGTCCCCTTGCCTTCTTCACCTGGTCTGTGCAGCAAGACACTGCATCGGCTGTGATTCCTGGTGGCGTGCTTAGAGATCTTAGAGTCATCACGACAAGGTTCAATATCACACCAACCTTCTCAGGACAAAAGGATTCTTACTTGTTTGAATACTTTTGGAGGTTTCACTTGCTGCCGCTCCTTTGAATGAGTCCATAGGCCACTGCCAAGAGCCACATGATGGTGCCAGGCCTGAGTTGGAAGCGAAATTTGTTTTTGTCCTCACAAGGATCGTGACCCATAAATAAAGCAATACAGATTGATCTGAATGCCATCTTAAGCCAAACCTTCATGAGAGATGATGAGAGGTTAGTAATACAATCACCAATTCACTTCAAACCTGGTGCTCCTTGGATTCAATGAGTTTCGCCTCATGTTCTGATGCATCCCTAAGATCTGTGCTCGCTACAAAGGATGGCAACCCGCAAGCCTCAGATACCGCAAAAAACAGGATGGCTGTGTAGGTATGAAAATCCATGAAAGATGGCTGATACGGGAGAAAAACATACAGTCACCTAGATGATTTGGAGCTATTAATTATTCAATATTATTCATATGCCACATGTAAATATCACGTACAGGAGTGAAGGATAGTGAATGCAACAAATGTACTGTAACAGCTGCAAGCCAGGCAACATTTCTTCGCAAATGCTGCGGCAAATCGAGCAGGCCTGGGTTACATCATGTATCAATCCACTGCATAGGTCTGAAGTTCGCTTGAGAGTCTTACCAGATTCTTCAATCATGTTTGGTGATCCATTCCTTGCAATGCCTTCTGAGTCTCTGAGTTGGCAGCAACAACGCACTGGTAAGGGCTGCGGCCTGAAGGCTGGGATCCCACTGCAAGAACAAGGGACTTGAATGGACTTGAATGGACTTGAATGGATTTGACTTGCTCCCCCTTAGAGATCCTTAGAGTACATTGGGTACATATTATGCTGGGACATGCTGCGTTGACTCTACAGGATTTCTCCCAACGTTGTCACACGAACACCTCCCACAGCTATTCAACCCTTGGCCGCATGGGTGTCAGAGTGTATAGCTTTTATCTTGATGTTCACAGGTAGCGTTGAATGATCCGTGTATTCTCACGTGAATGATCCCTGGCGTATGGGTCTGTCCTGGGCTCTCTCGGCACACATGTGTCAAGTTTTAGGTCGATCAATAACTATCATTTACATTTGGCTTCAAATAGATCAATATGACAGAATTTGCACAGCTATTTCAAACTTGGACTGCACAAGTTGTGATGCCATCGGGTTACTGTGGCCCGCACTGCCAACCTCTGAAAACGTGCGCGGCCTCAGTCTTTGCACCGACCAAATCCGATGCCATTTAGCGGGTGATATCTTCTACAAACATCTGCATCCACAAACTACAAACTGTAGAGTCGGAAACCGTCTTCAAGACATTTCAAAAACCAGAAGAGACGGTTGGAAGATGTTGGAAGAAAGGTGCAGACCAAATGATAGACCTTTGAGAGGTCACCAAAAGGTGAACTTCGTTTGTTCAGCTGTCTGAAACGAAATCGAACGTTGAAGACAGACATGGGAGCGAGCGTGCTTATGAACCAATATGAGTGGGAAGCCAGCCATAACCCTGGTCGCCATTGACACTGCACATAAGCCTTGATTTTGAAAGCAAGTTCTGGCTTCAGAATGCATGTGCAATACGCATCAATACGCATCATAATGATTCATAATGTATCGATATGCATCGTATTTTGCCCACTCCGGCACTCCGTATATCGTACAATCAGTGTCCACGTGGAGTCCACATGTGTCCGATCGAATGATCGAAGGTCAGGCTCCCGGGCGATTCAGTCGGAAGGTTGCTGGCCGCAGAAGGCTGTAGAGCTGTGAGTAGAACCTTTGCGCAGTGCCAAGGCGTGCCATCTGCGCTACGTGTCAGAACAAGCCTCGAAGATAGCCTTTTCGGAATGTTTGGAATGCAACACTTGATAACAATCTGACAACACGTGGACAGCAAATACAAAGTTGGCCTTGCCCAAGAGTTTTCAGGTGCAGCCATGGAGCATCCAGTCAGGACATGTCAGGAATTACTCACGTTCTCTCATCATATTCTCATAGCAAGAAAATCTTCTTAGCATGAGCTGTCGACTCTCCACATGATGAAGACAGAGTCTCCGGATCACCAAGGCCATAGCGCGTGAGCCTGCAGGATCTGCAGGCAAGACTGGTCTCAACGTGTAAGTTGGCTAAAGAAACTCTGGAAGGCGAGCGAAGGTGCTTCTACCCAAACCAACGTGGATACTTGGGTAATCTTGGAGCTAAATCATCCTAAATCCAATTCATCCCAATTCTGGGCATTGAATCATTACCCGTACCATCCCGTACCCCGATTCGACGCAAATTCTTCCGGTCTGGGCTGGGCTGCAGGCAACAATAGGAGGCCACTCAGCGCCAACACCGAGAGTTCCAAGGATCCTGGCGGATTTTGGATGTGATTTCTGTATATTTTGTTCAAACAAGAATAGATAAGAATAGTTTAAATATGGTTCAGTATGTGAAAATTGTTTAAAATTCTTTAAAATTGTTCGCCCCAACCCGGACGTTGCTCCACACTTACAATCGTCATGATCATCGTCATCATCATCATCATCATCACCACATCATGATCAACATCACATTAAAATTTGCCACCCCCTCTGAACAACATGTTGGCTAGGGTAATAACATCAACTTTATCTTCATGAGCGATCAAAATTCGCCCCCCCCCCTCTGAACAATATGTTGGTTGGGGTAATAACATCAACTTTATCTTCATAAGGGATCAAAATTCACCACCCCCTATGAACAATATGTTGATTGATTGGGATTGGGGTAATAACATCAACTTTATCTTCATAGCCACCTGAAGTCAGACGCGGCGCAACGTCAGGGTTGCAGCGAAATTGTTTAAATGAATGTGTACAGTATGTGTACGTTTCCAAAATCTGATCCCCAAATCTGTCAAAATCCACTAGCTATGGTCAAATTCAGTATGACCATTGGCTGCGGCACCTCCAAGATTTTGGGATTTTGTTCAAGACATTGTACTTGGTCAAAGATGTCAAAAGAACGTGCGTACCATGGCTGAATTTCAAGTTGAAAGGAGCGCCTGCATGGAAGGCTCTGAGGTAGAAATCTGCAACCATCAGAGGCCGACCTCAGCCAGCTTGTTAACTTGTATGGTAGATGCAAATTCACACCTTCGCGTGGTGATCCGTGCAAGTTCCTCAGAGAAGTTCCGTTGCCCTACTCAGAAAGCAAAGAAGATAAAGAAGGAAACAGGATGAAGGAGGTTCAGACTGCAAAATGCGAAGGGAACCATACCGGTTGATCAACAGTGATCATGACATATCATGACTAAGACACCTAGTAGGCCCGTTGGCCTCAAGCTTGCTACAGTCACTTCTTTCCGTTTCTCCAACTGAAAAGTCGTGCGGCATCTCATACAGTAAGGAAGTACATATATAAATCACCTAAAACACTACGTAGATCTGTAACCCTTGGAATAACAGGTCAAAGCCAATGTTGCTGTTCAAACGGCACTGCAGCCATCTGCAGCCCCACTCAGAAGTTCTTGGGTCCACGGCCCATGTGCGGAATGACTTTGGTAGGTAAAAGCTGAAGCCTCCGTCCAGGTTTGTGGCACCCTCTGTCAGAGCTGGTGAAAAACTTGAAACATTTGAAACAAAATGAGAAAACCATCTCGAGAAGAAAACTGAAAACATCTGAAAACGGATCTTCCAATATCTTCCAATCCCCATGTGATTTGCTTGGGGAACTCTGGACAAGGGCTATCCTGATGCGTGGCACCCCACGCTGGCTAAGAGCCGCGCAAGGAGGTGCAATGAGCCAATGGCACACGCAGCCCAAGCCTCAGGTGAACAAGAGCCATTGACATCGCAACTCTGAGGATAGGTTCCGGAGTGATGTGGGCCATGTATGGCCATGTATCTTTCGTTTTCCTCTGGGTTCCTGACAGCTTTAGCCAGGCTTCTTGAAAAAGTCGTGCATATTCCTTCCGGTATTGCTTCGAAGACCTGCCAAGGCAGCGGCAATTATCGTGAGCCCCGTCCACGTCGCAAGATCTGCCAATTCTGCACCTCGAAGTTTCAAGCCACACGTTGTCGATCTCATCGTCCTCCGACTCCTCCAAGGTTGGGACTCTTCAGGGACACGATAGACAGGCTATTGTTAGACAGTGGTGCTTTGGCCCATTCAGAGCGAACCCAACAGTGCTCCTACCAGTAGTCAGATCAGCACTTTGCGGTTATTGAATCAACATGCTAAATGGCTAAGTTTTGATTGATAATTGGCTTCCTTTGAGTCGAGTCGGAAACTTTTGACCATAAGCTCCGTCTGGTTTTGTCTTCGGCTTCTACTCCCCGCCTTGGATGCAGAAGATTGTGGCTCACGGACCTTGAAACGAAGCAATCACTGCCATCACAAAAGGTCTTCAGGCAAAGATTTGTTGGAAACTGACAGACATGCTCCAAACTGTAGCATACCATTTTCAGCTCCCCATCCAGGGCACAAACACCAAAGGCGGAAAGAATCATAAAGAACTCCAGACATTCCCAGACCACCCAGAGAGAAAGCAAAGTAATTGCAAAGGATTCCACAGTATTCCAGAAAAGCAAAGTACAGTGTAGGCCCAAATAGTTTCAATATGTTTCACAATGGCTTCTAAAGAAGCATGCACAGGCGCGCAAGACACCACACACACACACACACACTCTGGGCCTCCTTCAGAAGAGCTAGGATTCGCTCAAAGATCTCCTCATGCGTACGTCCTCGCGTCGCGGGGTCTCAAGATGTCGTCTTTATTAGCATTGTTAGAGGGCATTTTTGTGTACCCAAAATTAAACCTGCATCACTGGCATCACTTCCCCTAAGATGTGCAAGCTTTGTTTCATGCCCTGCTCATGGGAATCTCGTGTGCGCAGCAGAACTGAGTGGCACGGCCTTTCTGAAAAGCGGCCTCCGCCTCGGCGTAGTTTGATTTGCTGTGCACTGTCGGCCACGAAACACTCGGGATACGAGTCGGATACGAGCCAAGAATAGCCAAGAATAGCCAAGATCCATCTGAACAGTTCTTGATGGCCTTACTAAGCAGGAAAAATTCTTGCCCAGAGGCAGTGAGGTCAGATCTATGAGGGATCCAACCACATGGAATGAAAAGTGGGCAATAGGGGAACTATGTCACCGCAGTTGCAATCTCCACAAGTCGGAGCAGTCTCGGCTTCTAGTTGGACTAGGGGCCAATAACCCATGAAGTGCCATTGATGAGCCCTTGTATGAAACCAAAAACACATTTGCTCATGGAAAATATTACATGTCAACACTATTTGCTGGAACTGTGTTGATGATCATTGAAAAATGAAACAAATAATCAAATATTGGTAAGTATATAATGTAAGCACTGTCTTTCACTGAGTCAGTATAATTGGAACGGACTTGTCTGACCCACAGAAAAAACTAATTGGCTTGACCCAAGAACAGTGCTTTCTTAAATTTTAGCAAATTCATGTCAGAAACTCTACAAAGCACCTTTCTTTGTTCGACATAGTATAACAAATGACCAGATATGACCAGGATACAGGCCTCACTTCATAGCCCTTGTTTTGGCAGTATAGATTTGTCAGTTTTTCACCCTTACGCTGTTTTATGGGTGACCTTTCCACCAAAATAAATGCACCATCGATGTCTTTGACATTGGCAATGGCTGTGTTTCCACACGAAGGGGCCATTAAGTCGCTTCCGCTTGGCCGCCTGGGTTTCGCCCTGGGCAAGCCGACACAACATCCGCGTTTGCTCGTTTGGTCAAACATGTCCTTATGACTAGTTTCAAATTCTTTTCAAATCTGTTCTCTGTTGAGAGGCCTCAGGAGTTTCCTCGCAAGTTCGGACCTTGCAAGACAAACACAGGCGGAGGTGGTTGTTTCAGTGACATCATGAAAGAACAATTCCATTGTTTCCTCCACAAGTAAGCTGTACAATAGGCGCAGTTCAGGTCATGTGGTACTCAGGTCTGAGTTTGCTGGCCACTGGCTCTTTGGGCAGAGCTTTCCCTGCCTACCAGAACTAAGGCGTTTGATTTCTCGCGGGTACGCTGCAGGGCTCCTAGTAACGAAATGAGCAATCAAGTTGAATCTATTGCTGCAATTTGCTGCAGCTGTTTCTTGTCAAACTACCCAAGCTGTCACACCCTCCGGCCCCAAGCCCTCCTAGGCCAGCTAAACAAGGACCATCAAGGCCCAAAATCATTGGCACATATTGGCACTAAGTTATTCCATGTTATTCCGGTTCTTCCCGACTGCGATTCATTGTGGTGCCAGTTCCCTCACTTCCAGCCATGGCTAATAGCCATGTGATGACCTGTTCGGCACAATTCCTCAAGTGACTCAGCAAATAATGCCTCAGAGAACACCGCAATCCAAAAATCCAATTTTATTTCGCTTACATTTGCCTTCAGCAAGCCAAGACCCACGGCAAATCTTTACTGAATCACTTAACTTCACTAAACACAAATTCATTAAAAGCAGGTGATGTAGTGCATATCTGCATAGCTAATGTTAATGTATCCTGATGTTTGAAACCATTTGAAACCTCTGGAGCAATAGCCACATCAGGCTGAGCATCTCAGTAGAAGGCCGAATGTCTGCATAATTGACAACATACTCCGACAAGATGCATTCAGCCTTGTGGCAGATTTGTGAATTCAAAGCTTGTGGCCGCGGCAGATTTATGAGGCACCCAACGGTCCAACGGTAGTACACACATGTACACACTAGTCGACTTCCCTTGATTCTGCTGGTTATATAATGTTATATCTGGTTAGAGGAGAAACTCCAGCTTTCAGATCTTGCAGGGCAAAATTTGTTGGTTGGATCTCAGACATCCAAAGGTTCAACATGTGGTTGATCCACTAAGACTCCGGACGACTTGGCTGTTCCACCTGAACTCTGAACAAAAGATGCAAGAGAAAGAGTCCATCAATCCATCTGTCTTTGAAGGTGGGATTCTTGCCCCAAGAATCAAAGCACAGATATGTTATATTTGAATATATTTGATTAGAACCTGATTCTGTAAACGATCTCTGTCCTGCCTGGGTGCAAGCAAGAGCTCGGTCAACAATTCTGGAAACCGAGAATCTATTGGTAGGAGCCTTTGGCGGGAGGCCAGTGATGAGAAGGATGCTGCTTGACGTCCGAACTCGTTTTGGGGATGATTTATCTTGTGGTAGAAGACTGACTACTGAATAATTACCGTTTGGTTGGGACATCAACACTTTTGCTGCTGCAAAGTCCATCCAAACCCATTATGAGTCAATGGGCAATCCTGATTGATTATTCGATGGCGTGGTCTGATTGACGACTTCTTCACAACCCTTCGCATTTGCAGATACGCGATACATGCGACGACTCTCCGTACATGCGATACCCTACGGCGGCTTTGTCCGGGGTCTTCAAAGATCTTCAAAGATGATGTGCACGTGTGTCCAATTTTCTCCATAATGCCTCCTGTCACTTTCGGTGGGCCAGATGCCAGCAGTAACAAGCTCCGTGGGGCTGCTTCAGATCTGAGGTGGACTTGCTTCAGCTGGAAATGGACTTTGCCCCTGAAATTTGCAAATTGAACAGATCTTTGCGTCGCAACGTCAAACGTGAGCACATTTGAGGTTGACGAACAGCGACCAGCTTATCACAACTCATCTATCAAGCGCTGCAACCACGGCTGAGGGTGTAGCTCTTTCAAAGCACCTGCATGACGTATTCAAAATCCAGTAAACTAAGAAGAAGAAGAAGAAGAAGAACTTTCTGTGAAAGGTCAAATGAAATGAAAATGGGTGATTGCTGGTACACACTGAAATGATCTCTTTTTGCACACAAAAAGGCACCTCTGAATGCAGTCTGCAAGTCAGATGCTCTGCCAGTGTCACTCACAGTGAGAACTATTTGGAACTGGGCTTTGAGGAACCCATCCTTGTTGCTACGATTGAAGCTGAAATAAAAAGCGACGAGTCTGAACTTATATACCCTATGATACTTGTGGCAATGCGGTGAGCTGGAAGTTAATCGCCAAACACTCACGACTGCCCTTTGCTGGGATGAATTGAGATGAATTGAGATGTCATACTGTTTGAAGGCTCTGTACGAAAGAACAGGGACCAAAATATGTCCATTGCATCGCCCAGTAGCAATTCTTCCCACTCCACTGGAGTACCAGAATCTTCTTTGTAGAACTCTGCTATTGCGGCCACTCCACGTTGGAAATCGCTCTGCCACGCTTTGCAGTCCGCTACAAAGAAACCTGAGCCACAGAGCAAAGTGACAAAGTGTCTACTTAGATCATCTCTTAGATCTACATTGAGTCTATCCTTGGGCTCTCTGTACAAAGTTGTAGGCCCAGTCGCTCGAAGAAATGGCCATTGCCATCCATTAATATTCCATCGTCAATACTCAACCTTTATCGTGGCAATTAATTATTTAATGTTGGTTGAACATGGTTGAACTGTTATGAAGTATCCTTATGTATCCTTGTTATTTATTGTTCATATTGTTCATATTGTTGCTTGACTGATGTTTGATTGATGCTTCACAGTCAAAGAGCAAACTTTGCAGGTCAAGGGAAGCTGGCCACAGTAGGTGTCGGTTTTCTGCGCCTTGATCCAGTTCATTCTGCATTCTGCATGATAAAACATTCCGGAGTCCACAACACCATGCTGTCCATCGGCAGCTCCTTCGCCATGGCCAATGGTACATCCAACGTTGCAAGTTGCTGGGTCATCCGCAGAAAATTCGATGCAACAAATTCCACAGGTCTCATGTTCGCCCAGCCCATCCTTTAGTGGAAAGTCATCGGTATTGATGGAATGCATCTCAGCAAGTCCCGCAAGTCGCTCCACTGCTTGGTGTACACCACTTTCATCAACCAGCAGAAAATGTTTATGCCAATGCAGCACGTCTGGAAGGGAGAAGCAGAGCTCACAATATTCTGGTCTACTGTCAAAGCTGCTCTCTGGCGGCAGCACCTCACATTCCATGCACTGAAAGCGACGCTTGGGTGGAATCGTAGTCAAGGATGCCCTGCAGTTGGAACATCTAATACATGCACAATCTGGAGAGAAACAACACAGCGATCCACCTGAACTGAGGTTTTTCGCACCAAGCAAAAGACTCTTAGGAAATCTGTCATGTTGCTTGTTTTGTGGATCTTTGTGGTATGCTTGAGAGGTTTGAAACATCCTGAAACGTCACAAACAAACATCAAAATAGCCGATCCAAAGTGGCTAATTGGAGCACAGCCACATGGATCATGGTAGAATTTCTGCCACCTCATCATATTTTCAGAGACAGGCCGCTCTGGAAGGCTTTTTCGCCAGTCATCTCCTCCCTCCAGCAGCCGAAAGGCTGTCTCAGCCATGAGCAACAGGGGAAACCAGGTCAAAGTTGTCGACCAGTCAAAGTAATGATGCTTGAACAATCAGTTCTCATGTGAAACATCATAGGATAAATATAGACATAGAATGATATAGAATGGTATAGACTTCAGTTGCCATTATTGCAACTAGTGCTCTTTGTGTTTGCCCATTGAACGACCATTCCTATGGAGGCACTACAAGTGCTCAGTTCCTTGACCAAAAAGCTACAAGGCTGTCCTGTAAGCCTGGCCACAGCTACAGTGCCAGGACGATACGACTCTTGCAAAAGGTACTGTACACACAATGTTTTGAAGCATATTGAAGTATTTTCAACTTAAAGATTAGTAAAGTGGTGCTATGAGTGCAATGCAGCAAAGCTTTAGGATTTGATTCGCCCAGTCTACTATCAAGATCTATCAAGTAAGTCTTGGACGGAGATTGAGGTTTCAAGGTGGCCAACACTTTTGACGTTCCGTTGCTGGTGTCTCCTGTATTTTGACTGCACTTCTTAGGCGCCCAAGCCCGAAGAGGCGTGCAAGTTTTTGTCCTGAGTCAGCACAGTGTGAAAGCAAACGTGAGAATTGTAATGGCAGACGGATGCAGAAGGGCCATAAAGGGCCACTTTGATGTTCTTTGTGTGGCCAGGGTCATGTGACTGTCTCAGGACCGCTTTTTCCAAAAACAGCTCCACACAAAGAATCAAATCACATTGCTGCAAGTTCGGACAACCTATAACTTTTGAACGGTGGCTCGTGCGATCTACATGACTACAGTTTGACTACTTGAGTACAAGATGTACAAGATGTCAACAGGTAGAGGTTACAGTGTCTATAGCAAGCAGAAGCATCGTCGTCAACCGACGTATGAAATGCCAGCAAGACCTGCCTTGCTGTGCAAATGCATGAAAGATCATGAGAATAGAATGGAAATGAAAGACTGTATATAAATGTATATAATAAAGAAACACTCTATGATTTGATATGATTTGATATGATTTGATATGATTTGATATGATTTGATGTTGGTAGCCGCTTAGGATGTTCCGTCGCCGTTTCCTGTGTCCAGGCACCCCTGCCAGACATCTTGGTGGACGCATTGATTTCCGCAGCCTTCCCGCCAGGCAATGACGGACAGAAATCAACCTGTGGCGACCTGTGGCGACCTGTGGCAATATTCCTTTGGCAAGTCGATATGCTCCACACATCAAAGCAAGACATACGGGGAAACGACAATGTCACAGCTAAGTCCTGCAAATAGCGCGACACAAGTGCTACACTTAGCTGAAAGTAGCTGAAAGGCATTGGCCCACGAATTGTTCTGAGAGGGCATGCCTTTGTCTGTTTGTAGAAGGCTCCTTGCCAAAATGATGTTGGAATCTTCAGGAGTTCAAGAAACTCAACTGGGAGACTGGTTTGTTGTGGAAGAATTCAATACTTGTCCCGGCATAGAACTCCCCCTACTGTGTAGTATATATTACGTGTGTAATACATAGGCTTGCTTTGGCTTGCTCGGTGCCTCATCTTTCAACAACATCAGGGTAAGCCGAATTGCGCCTGGGAAAGGGATTGGAGATGTGAGGGGGTTCGCCCCTAAATGATCAGACGCAAAGTAACACCTGACCTGATACAACACTGAGCACAGAAGCACAGATATCGATCAAGCCTGAGTCTGAGATTCTAATCACCGTGTCTAGTAAATTAGAAAATCTCAACGTTGCACCTCGGCTTCAAATTCTTGGTTTCGCACCAAGCTGCGCTTTCACCTCTCCTGATGCCGCAAGCTGAAGTATCAACTGCCGCAAAGCCTCAGCGGGCAAAACCACGGAAATGGAAGAGGTGGCAGATCTGTGGGATATTGTCGGATGCTTGACTCACGCTGATAACAGATATGCGAATCGCAAAAAACATGATGACATAATAAAATATGCCCTGCCAAGCGAAACGGCCAAGCGAACCAGGGAGCGCACCTTGTTGTGACCCCGCAGCCACTGAGCAAGTTCATGTAAGCCTTGATCGGTATTGCTCTCAGGACAGGGTCATCAGGAAAAGTGCCAGAGACACATACCTTGACTTTGAGTGATTCAGAATGGTGTCAAAAATATGTTTGCGTCATCTCGTGTCTGTTGTTTCAGACTGAAAGCAGTTTTCTTATGTTTTCTTAAAAAGTTGACACCTTTCAACAAGCAATTTACCAGTTTCCTAGTATGATCAACATCAAAGGTACTTTGGACATCCAGAATTGCCAAGAATCTAAGCAAACATCATAAATACCATTGAAACCAAAGCTGCTTGCAAAATATGTCTGAACAACCATGGGTGCCCATGCTCCAGGAGTCAAATGATTGATGTTTAAACACATATGATATGTATGCTGTATGGAAGTGTAAGTGCAAATGTAAATGTAACATAATGTAAATGTAAATGTAACGTAACGTAATGCAACACAACGCAACGTAGTGTACTGTAATGTACAGTATATCTGTATGTGTATGTGTATGTATATGTATATGTAGATGTGTATGATGTATGGATGTATGGATGGATGGATGGATGGATGTATGGATGTCTGTCTGTATGTATGTGTATGTGTATCTGTGTGTATCTGTGTGTATCTGTGTGTATCTGTGTGTATCTGTGTGTATCTGTGTGTATCTGTGTGTATCTGCGTGTATCTGTGTGTATCTGTGTGTATCTGTGTGTATATGTGTGTATATGTGTGTATATGTGTATATATGTGTGTGTATGTGTGTGTATGTGTATGTGTGTGTATGTATGTGTATGTATGTGTATGTATGTGTGTATACGTATGTATATGTATGTCTATGGATGTAAGTATTGAGTATGTAAGTATGTAAGTATGTAAGTATGTAAGTATGTAAGTAAGTAGGTAAGTATGTAAGTAAGTATGTAAGTATGTAAGTACGCAAATATGTATGTATGTATGTATGTATGTATGTATGTATGTATGTATGTATGTATGTATGTATGTATGTATGTATGTATGTATGTATGTATGTATGTAGTGTGTAAGTGTGTAAGTGTGTAAGTGTGTAAGTGTGTAAGTATGTAAGTATGTAAGTAGTATGTAAGTACGCAAGTATGTATGTATGTATGTATGTATGTATGTATGTATGTATGCATGCATGTATGTATGTATGTATGTATGTATATGCACAGGCGTTTTCACTGCAAACCCTAAGCTATATCCTTTGACCCCCATCGATTCCGCATATCCTTTGTGCTCAAATCCCTGCTCTAGCGGTGTTTAACTTTCCAAAACAACATGAAAACCCTGAAACCCCAAAACCCTCACACCCTAACACCATAAACACTATATAAACACTATATAAAACCCTAAACCCTAAATTGGCCCTAAATCCTAAGGCCTTTTGGTTCATCCTCTGGTGACAAGTATATAATACTGGCTGGTTGTGTTATTTGGAGGTGGGCGAAGGTATGGTTTGGCGCGTACATGTTTCAACACAAGCTGCCTTCGGTCTCAGAGTCCACCGCTAGTCGGCGATGATGCCTTGCACAATGCCCAACAGGACGGCATGCACAGCATTCAATTGCAGTGAGTGAGTTCTGATTCCATGATATTCCATGAAAAGATATGAAACGTGCATAGAAGTGCCCCAACAGAATCTAGGTGCATCTGGCATCCTTGCTCACTACATTGGTGAACGAGAATCATAAAGCATGTATTTTCCTGTAAAAATGAATAAGAAGATAAGCTGCATGAAGTAGCGCATGAGCGTTACATCATGTTACATAGTATAACGATGTATCATGATGTATCATGTGCGGTGCCCACTGACCAGTGACTGACTCATCAAAACAGGGTGTCCATCCGTTTGCCCATTCTCTCAGCTCGGTGAGCCCTTAGCATCCGTGCGCCAAGACCTTTCCAATCGCAGAAAGAGCTGCAACCACAACTCCTTAGACATGACATGCTGCATGGCTGCATGGCTGCACCGAGACAAAAACACAGACTCAATCCAGAAATATCCAGAACAAGAACAAGATTTGCGGTGAATATTTATTAGATTGACATATTTGACAGCACCAAGATTCGTCGATTAAAATTTCAACCCGTTGATTGCAGAACTGCTGTATCCACTGCAAGCTCGTAGCGCAGCGTCTAGACTGTGACAGTAAAACTGTTGAGGTTTGTCTTTCAAAAAACAGGGTCCAATGTGAAGCGTCAAGGGCTGTATCCACTGAGTTGCCAAGCTCAAGTCCTCCGACTCACAGAGCGCAAAGAGTTTGGTGATCTCCAGCGGTGATGACCAGGAAAAGGAAGAGGGAAAAGTTTGGTGATCACCATCAAAACATATCAAAACACAGACTCATAATGAATCATAATGAATCATAATGATTCACAATCAAAAAGACATACTATGTAAATCAAAAAGGCATGATATGTAATAATCGTCGCTGTCAAAATTATCACCGCAATCCTTGTTGCTGCCATTGCAACCAAATGTACTGAGGGTATCTGAGGGTACTGTAGTGGATGATAGTAGATGTTTTCCCAGAATTCCTGAAAAAGGAGAATGCTGCCAGTGCAACCGGTATGCCTCGTTCAGGTTCTCATGGCTAGCACCAAGCAAGAGCCCCCTGCAGAATGTTCTGTTGTAAACATCTCCATGACGGAAGCCACCAAGCTACCGGGTAAAGATCAGATCACTCCCGAATATCACGCAGGGCAGAGGCCTCTGATACAAACATGCCAAGGACACTGAAGCTCCGAGACTTTCTCCATCACAGTCAATCTGAAGGCAAAACGAAATTCGTTTAGCTGGCCCTTTGTGCCAAATTAATTTCAAACTCTGTATATCATCAACCTGAAAGAAATTGACAGTGCTAGATTCTGCTAGATATCTACGCTCGGAAAAAGACATGCATGACGTCTGGAAGCTCAGCATTCAGTTGACTCGTCTGCGCTAACGGTGTGGTGTTATGTGTACGATTTACATGATTCAACTAGTATACAGCCAACGAAACACCCAAGGCTTTGCAAAACTGTGAGGGTACTTAGATGTACTTAGGGATACTCAGGGTACTTTCATGTTTGACTGCTCGAGCCAAAGATCTTACCAGGTTTTCGTAAAGGCACATACTGAAGGCAAGGTCATACTATGATAGGATCTGCACTGTGCTGGTTGCAGTCTATTCTGATCCAAATTCTCTGGATCAATCCCGAAGACCAATGCCCTTCTCATTCTTGATTCCCCAAGGCTTCTCTTTTTCCACACTGTTTAACGCCAAAAGGACGTGTGCGGGTTACGCCAACATCTGTTTCGTCAAGAGATCTCCGGATACGGGAGGAGCAGGGTCAAAAGGGCATTGTGCAATGAGGTTCCATTCTTCAAAACATCACGAACAAAACTAGCATCAACAAGCGAAATACCGACTTGTCCAGATAAGTTTGATCTCCAAGCTCAGCCCATGCCAGTTCCATCAAGTTTCCCAGATGAAGACCTCTTTCTGAAACATTCGATAAGACATCGATATATCAAAAGATTGCCCTTGCCAATTTGCAAGGAGTACGCTGCAATACGCTGCAAAACATCGAATCGCAGTTCCCGAGGGGCTAAGAGGCTTGAGTACGAACACATTCGCACGTACTACCGTGCAGTTGCAAGGCAGTTAAAGCGTTCAAATCAATATCTGCTGATGGCTGATAACATCTGATAACTACGGAAAGGGTTGCAATACCAAGCCTCAACCTTCGGATTTCGCCAGCGCAGATCAGTCTTCTGTGGCAACGATGAGGTGGACTTCGTCCCAGTTATAGAGATTTATAGCGATTTACATTATAGTCTGTATTGCCATTATAGACTACAGCGGCTCATAGGATTCAACATGGAACAAACATCAACATTCCCAACTGAAACATGGTCCACCGCGGGGGATCACAGCGAGCAGGACATCTAAACGAAACATCTGTGGGATGTCGCTAAATTGTTGACGCCTGGGAGCGTATAAAGAGCATGGTCGTTGATGTACCAAGCCGTGTAAGTGACTGCATCCTGTACTTTCTAACTCTGGATGGTTAGTTCATCTCGCAGAGCCAAACTCCATTGAATACTCAGGGTTGACCAGGCTTGAAAAGAAGGTTGAGACGAACATGTTTTACATGTGCAGAAACATCAGAGACGGACTGTGCAGAGTCTAGTATAATAATATTTATATACTATCGTCAACTATCGTCATCTTTCTTCATGGCTGTCATGGCTGTGATATCCTGTCGCATTTGGTCCCCTGAGGAATTTTTCCGTTGTTCCTCCTTTTTGAGGGCTCTCAGGAAGAGGAAAAAGTTTGATCAGGGGAGGAACCTGTCCCTTGAATTGAATAAAGGAACATGTGTGCTCAGTTCAACACTTAGAGACAATGGTTGTGCATATGTGTGTGTGTGTGTAACTATAAAAATATCTTTACGTGTATATATATATATATATACATAATTATACGTACGTCCGTCCGTACGCACATAACATAATATAACATAACATGACATGACATGACACAACATTACATTACATAATCTAAAATTACATTACATTACATTAACATTACATAACATTACAAAACATTACATAACATTACATAACATACACGACATAGATTACATAGATCACATATGTAGATTACATCGATTACATAGATTACATAGATTAAATATATTACATAGTATGTAGATTTGATATGTAAATTACATCGATTAAATAGATTACATGGATTACATTGATTACGCGGAATACCTAGGATACATAGATACATAGATACATATGGTAGATACATAGATACATACAGTAGATATAGTAGATACATAGATACATACGGTAGATACATAGATACATAGATACATACGGTAGATAGATAGATAGATAAGATAGATAGATAGATAGATAGATAGATGGATAGATGGATAGATAGATAGATAGATATGATAGATATGATAGAATGATAGAATGATAGATAGATAGATAGATAGATGGATAGATAGATATGATAGATATGATAGAATGATAGAATGATAGATAGATAGATAGATAGATTAGATAGATTAGATAGATTAGATAGATTAGATAGATAGATAGATAGATAGATTCGATAAGATAAGACTAGATTAGATAAGATTAGATTAGATAAAATAGATTAGAGAAGATTAGATTAGAGAAGATTAGATAAGATTAGATAAGATTAGATAAGAGTAGACAAGATAAGATTAGATAAGATAAGATTAGATCAGATAAGATTAGATAAGATCAGATTAGATAAGATAAGATTAGATAAGATTAGATAAGATTAGATAAGATTAGATAAGATTAGATTAGGTTAGATAAGATTAGATAAGATTAGATTAGGTTAGATTAAGATTAGATAAGATTAGATAAGATTAGATAAGATTAGATAAGATTAGATAAGATTAGAAAAGATTAGATAAGATTAGATAAGATTAGATAAGAAAAGATAAGATGAGATTAGATAAGATTAGATAAGATTAGATAAGATTAGACAAGATTAGATCAGATTAGATAAGATTAGATTAGATTAGATTAAGATTAGACAAGATTAGATAAGATTAGATAAGATTAGACAAGATTAGATAAGATTAGATAAGATTAGATAGGATATGATAAGATTAGATAAGATTAGGTTAGATTAGATAGATAGATTGGTAGGTAGGTAGATTAGATTAGATTAGATACGATATGATAAGATAAGATTACATTACACTACACTACACTACATTACACTACTTTACATATATACATACATACATATATACATATATACATATGTACATATATACATATGTACATATATACATATATACATATCTACATATGTACATATGTACATATATACATATATACATATATACATATATACATATATACATATGTACATATAAACATATATACATATATACATATATACATATATACATATATACATATATACATGTATACATGTATACATATATGCATATATACATATATATATACATATATACATATAATATATATATACATATACATATATACATATATACATATGTACATATGTACATATATACATATTTACATATATACATATATACATATATACATATATACATATATACATATATACATATATACATATATACATATATACATATATACATATATACATATACATATATACATATATACATATATACATATATACATATATACATATATACATATATACATATATACATATACATACATATATACATATATACATATATACATATATACATATATATATATACATATATACATATATACATATATATATATACATATATACATATATACATATATACATATATATAATACATATATACATATATACATATATACATATATACATATATACATATGTACATATATACATATGTACATATGTACATATATACATATATACATATATACATATGTACATATATACATTATGCGTATGATGGTGTATCAAGATTCATGACCAATGGTAGAGCTTCGAGGACTACATGAATCACGGCATATATGGTGGAGTCGTTCATAATCGCCTGTTGGGTGACAGGGACAGGACCTATTTGTGTCAGGCATCGAGGTTCGGAATCCAGCGCAGCATCTTGCGAAGTCGCTGAAGTCGCTCCACGGTTTCGCCTGGAGGGACTCGACTTCAGGATGGACTTGAGATGCCGGGAGCAATCTGAAATCATCCAATGCCTCCAATACATCCAATACGGATACGGTGATACGGTATATAACATGTGGCATGTGTCCGTATCGAATAAATTAGAATTGCATGTACACTCACAGCATCTCACAAGCATCCATAAAATATCATAAAAATGCACAGGCCTTGTGCACTCACTTCACCTGCGCCAATAAAATCACGGCTCAAGGAAACTGAGTAACTTTGCGTGTGAGTGGAAAGTAATGCGTACCTGCCACCTATGCGATATGCTCACGTCGTAATATCTCGATGATTCGATGTATATCCAAATGCTCTACATCCGTAGAAATATGTTTGAGAGACATTCAAAGACATTGCTGTGTAACTTGATTGGTGCAGTGCCAAGGATCTTTCCGGAATATTGGACACTGTATTAGGCCATAGGCCATAGACGTAGTCAAGCCGCGTGAAGCCACACCATTCCCACCTCCAAAACATGACCGATAGCCACAGTGGTCTCCTCCAAGCGCAACATCAGCATACCCAGTCCTTGGCAACGAGACAGACAAATCCAACAAAGCTTTGGCAAGTTCGACGTGCAGTTCAAACTTTGGAGATGTATTCTCTTGTTGCAATACATCTCTTCACGTGTGTGGATACTTCAGATATTCCTCATACATTTCATCTGTTTGACAAATATGTGAGAGGGCGAATCACTGTTCTGTTGAAGAATCTCTTGCATGAAAATCCATTGGGCTGGTATCCTTGACCCCACTGATCGGGGTCTTTTCCAGTGTTTGGGAGCAAAAAACAGTGCAAACTTTCAAATAGGGAAGTTCATCAGTGTGTCTAAGAGCAAACACGATCAAAAATGTACTATTGCACACATGTGCCGCTGGACCCCCTCTTTAGTTCTCCTTAGTCTCCACGGCATATTTCTTCGTTCTTTCAGCATATCATGAATGCAAGGACGTATCGTAAAGTATCCCGAATATTAATATCATTTAATATCGTGAACATGTTGTAGACGTGAAAAGCACGATGATTCCAATGTGTGCGCAAAAGGACAACAGGTGCCACAGGTCCACAGGTCAATCAGCGATTGTTGGGCCAAGAAGCGGCTGTCCGGTGATGCACAAAGTGGCACCTTGAAACGCTTGAATTTCCAAATGGAAACCCCGGAGACCCCAGAACCCTGGACTCCAGCATCCATGTGCATCAACTAGATAGCTAAGTACTTTATAATAGATTATATAATATTATATACTAATTATCTAATACTACTGAAAGCTTGAGCAACGTCGATTGGGAAAAACACCAAGGCTCTGTGTGTGTGTGTAGCCGTTGGTTGGTTGAGAACTGGCCGCTTTGAAACGTAGAATTCTTCGCTGTAATGTCTGCGTTGTCCACATCTGTCCTGCATGACAACCTGCTGTATGTTGGCCCTTTAGAATCTCGCCTCTCGAGACAGCCGCAGCATGACAGTGAGCCGCTGGCCAGCCTTGTGGCAGGTCCCGTTGCAGTGTCAAATCGTCAAACATCTCTTTGCGGTTTCGTCAGAATATCTCCAGAAATCACAATATATATACTTTGTGATGCCCTGATGGACATAGTTGACATTGCTTCTAATGCGATGTACTGTATTTGCTCATGTCAGAGACTGCAGCACCTTCCACAGGTCACTTTAAAAAATTGAGACATGGAACAGGCAACCAACTGATACAGTAGCACCAGTAGCGTTGTTTCTTCAGAAGTCCGCCACTTCTTTCAAACGGGTACTGAACTCCTAAACCTACAACATCTGACCGGCTCTGACCTTCACAACTTTAGGCTTCTCCGTGGTCACTCCAGTAGACCAGTCAAAGGCGTCCTGGAAGAGCGTCAAGGCTATGACACCCGCATCACTCGGGGTTGAAGCAGCACCACACTGGCGTAACATGGTGTAACCATGTGTAAGCTTGGTCTTAGCATGTCTGAGGAATCCGCCGGCCTGCCAGCGTGTCTGATTGGAAGGTGTTGTTCTTGTTTCTGGTCTTGGCTTGTACTTGTTCTTTTGTTCTCTTGCTGTGCGTTTTTGCTTCCCCTTACTTCCCCTAGTGCTGCTGCTGCTACTACGACGACGACCACGACGACCACGATGACTGCTACTATGACTCTTACTCCTGCTACTACCCCTACTCCTGCTACTCCTGCACAACTATGTCTTTCTTCCCTCTTCTTCATGTCTTCTCTGCTACGTCTTTCTCCGCTTTCCCCCTAGCGTGCACATCAACCTCTGTCCCTTCCCGCAACTTCTCTCCGCTCCCGCCCTGTTTTCGTCAAGGCAATGGTCTGCGGTTACGCCGAAGACTCATATATAATATCAAGCGGGCGACTTACTACCTGTCTGCCACCAAGCCGACAGCTCACTCCCTTCACCCAGGTAATAAATTCCAGGTCATGCGCTAAATGCAAGCTGCTCAGTACCCAAGTCCAAGAGATCCCCATTCACGCATGCTGCTTGGCTATGGCCGGCGGGCTTGCCGCAGGCAATTAAATATCCTTCAACGTATATCCTTCAACGTACTAGCAATATCATCTAAGATGTTTTAACATGTTTCAATCTGATAAAATCAGTCGAAGCCGGGCCAGAATCTTCTCAACTTCAGCTTCAACTGTGGCTGCATGGACCTCAGATGGTTCCGACATCTCGGAAGGCATTAGACGGCATCAGTATCTTTCAGTGCTATGACTTGTGTCGGTTGTGTGTATTTGGACAGCCTGACCCCTTCCCTCCCCTTACCATCCCCTACCCACTTTGCAATGGCCTCAATGTTACAAACTGCAGCTATGGCCACAACACATGAGCTATTCCATCCTATTCCCATCTTTGTGTCAAATTCTGCCAAGTACGCAAACTTCCTGCGCTCTTTGAAAGCAAAATGATGTCAACCTGCTTCAGCCAAATCGCATGCAAGACAGCTTTAAATCCAGCAGTCAACGGCCGTGGCATCTCTATGACTTCCATTTTCGCTTTGACGTAATCGCTCACCTGGCGACGGTTCACATACCCCAAACAAGCATGAAGCCGGTTCGGAGAAAAAAAAACCTTAAGCAGGTTCTCACTGGACTTGCTATTTGTGAGAGTCATGAACATCATGAACTACAATCAGCCCACATAATGAGACAATGTAGTTCGGATAAATGGAAGCATTTGAGATTCAATCTTCACTGACTGCCTCTGCTTAGATGCGTGGAGATTGTATGAGGCTTAAATCAAATGTAGACCTGAACATGTACAGAAAGTGCTGATGCTGATGGGCTGATAGATTAAATCATGCTGAACAAATCTGAACAATTGTTCAAAGATTTCTGAGGAGGTCCAGCTTGGGGGTTGCTGCAAGTCTTTCCATGGCCAAGAGTTGCAGTGTACCTTTAAAGTGTTGTGAACTTCTGAATTGCTGCACTTCAATCTGTCAAGGATTGCTCCCCGAGTTTGAAATGGCACCTTCGAATGTTGTGGGGCTCACCAAGAGTTCTTTTGCAGGAAAACAAGTGGAAACTTCATGCACCATTCCGTCTCGGTCCATCTGCCCTTACCCTTCTTACCCCAGCAGGGCTCCAGCGGCCCCAGCACCATGCCATACCATGCCTGCAAGCTATCTGCCTCATGAAGCACTGAGCCCCGCCAGGCATGTCCGGTGGCACCTGGCAGCTGCAAACACGGTGTCATGTGTCAAACAAAGCTGCACATGGAAGGCAAGATAAGGCAAGCTTTACTGTGATATACCATGACATACCGTGAGCCTTACAAACCCTGTGAGTTGTGTCCTCAAAATTCCTCAAACTTCCAGCCTGCAGTGCTGGGCCAGTCTGGCAAGTTCCCACTGAGCTGTATTTCCACATTTTGCCCGCCTTTTGCCTTGCAACGGTGGAAAGTTCCGCTTGCAACATACACGTCCCTTCTAAAAAGACTCCAACAAGCCCTTTAGCCCGTCTTCTGGCCTAAACATCTGACTCCTGACAGAACAAGTAAACTTTTCTCTGATCTATAGCCAAGTTAAAAGAAACACAGCAGACTCAGATTGTACACAGTAATTAATTATGTATTTTTATCTAATATGAGTGTCTATAATTAATTATGAGATGTAATTACGTTGCTCCAACCTTGCAAAATCTAAATGGTCTGTCATGATTGTCCAGGCTGGCCTCTTGCAAAGGCATGGGCTGCCTGGTCGCCGTCTGTAGCACCTCGATGCCCAGAGAGGCATTGCCAGGCGCCAAATTCCATCGCTGGCCAGGCTGCAGAACTCCTGGAAGCGCATCAAGTTCCATCGTTCCATCGGCTCCCGTCTGCTCTATGCTCAATGAGTTGCGTCAAATTCCATCTGGTCGCCAAGGAAGGTGAGCATCGGTGGAACTGATAACGAAACTCAAGACTTGATCGAATACAGCTGGCGCCTTAATTCTTGCAACTAGCATGATCCATGCTTGATCCTAACCCTCACCTGGAGATACTCCGACGGAAGAATACGCCACTTGCACGGCCAAACTGCTCCTTGTTCCACGCGGCCACGTACACGAAGACCTTTCGCCGTGGTCAAGGACTCGAAGAGGAGCACTTGCAAAGCTCCGGACCTGGCTGAAACGAAACAGGCTGAAACACTGCAAAACCGCGTCAAGAACTGCATCAATAGACACTTGAAAAAACAGCTGAGAAAACGGAGAGAAGAGCTGAGACGGGGCTGAGATGGGGCTACGATTAGCTGTTTGGGCGCGATGGTGCCATGCTTCGCAGCTTCGCAGCTTCGCAGCTTCGCAGCTTCGCAGGCCTGGCATCTGCGCAGCCCTTTGTGGCTTCATCCAGGCAGTGGAGTAAGGAGCCGCCCGAGTGCCAGGTGGCCTGCACAGATTTGTACCCTGCATAGGACATGTGAAGATTACATAAGATATCATAAGATGACCCGTTGCGCCGTTGTGATAGTTCATCCATGTTCATCGACGTTCATATTGGCTCCGTGTGCCACGTGTGCCAGACTGTCTCAGTATGTCTCAGTCCTACCTATGTCTACCTTGCCCGCACTGAAACAGTCAACGTGTCCCACCTTCCGGGCATCCAACTGATTGGAGAGTCCATCCACTGGCACAAAAACTGCAGCTGCTTGATTGAAGCCTGGACAAAATCGGACAAAACAATGCATGATTTGATAGGACAGTGCTAGGAACTGATTCTTGAACTCCCGCAGAACCCACAGTGACTTATTGATTCATCACGTTGCACAGAAGGGGGCAGCGTAACACATCATGCAAATGAGTCATACAAGCATAATATACTTGATGGAAAAAATTAAGGAAAAACTGAACTTGATGGTGAGCACGGCTTTATTGCACTCGTTTGTAGATGATGAAACCAGCTAAACTAGCGCGCTTCTACGGAGACAATGTCATCAGCGATGAAGAATCATGAAGAATCATGAAGAATCATGAAGATAAGAATCATGAAAACATATCTTCGCTATTTTAAACTGCGTTTCAATTTGAATGATCACCACGCTAAAGCCTCCCTTCCGACGTGCGGCCTGCATTGGTAAGCACTGGAGCCAAGGCGGAGGCAACATCGTTGAATCGGTCCTCAGAGGTAAGTGTGAAAGTGAAGGCAGAGCTGATCAGGATTTGGATGTGATTTAGATTGATTTAGATTGATTTAGCATATTCAGCCTGTGTATAGAAAAGGTAAGGATTTGGCAATATTTTGCATATTATTTTTGTTGTTGATAGGTTGCCACCATGAAGGTGCATGCCTTTTCTCCGCACCGTGGGTTTTGGCACTTGCCTGCTTACATCAAGTAATGAGGGGAAACACAGACTGAAACAGATTCAAACTATCACATTCACTCTTGCACCCAGATCTGTTTAAGGCTTATTTCTTGATGTCAATTTATGTCAATCTAGATACTCTTCACTTCAACATACTGAAACTGACTGTGGGCGAACTTGCACTACCTACATCCATCATCGGTATATCTCCGGTCAAAGTCTGCTGTGTCTGCTGTGTTCCTATGACTCGGCCCGATCGTGAGCGTCCTGTGCCCATGAAGCCTCTTCCATCTTGCTCACAGCCACCAACAACCTCTGTGCAAAGGCTGTGCTCAGCTGTGCTCTGCTATTTTCCCAAAAAAAAACAACATAGATACATAATTGACCATAATTATGTCAAAGAAATCAAAGAATCAAAAAGAGAATCTGAAAATCAAACTTGGAAGGATCAAAAAGATCATTGGATTAAAAAAGGTCAGCCGATGTCAACCGAATCCGGTGGCCTCCGGGCGCCAAGACCTTTGGCCACCCGCAGCTGCTCAGCCAACGCCGAAGTGCCGCTGGCCTCGTTCCGTGGCACACACGCCGGCCGAAACCGAAGGTTCAACCAGAACAAAAGGAATCTGGTCCCATTATCCCAAAACATCAAAAATCATCAAAACATCCCACAACCATCACAACCTGTTGTCATATTGAGACAAAATGCCTTAACTGTTCGCACCATCCACCACTATCCCTATAGGTCCATTAGTTGTTCAACCGCTGCATGTCACCATATGTCACCCTAGGTCAACCTCACCTCTCTGAGCGCTGCTTCCAACTCTCTGCCCTTGGCTGAAACCACCAGCAGCGCAATGTCAGCTTCAGCTGCTGCTTGTACAGCTTGTGGCAAGCAACGGCGGCCTGCAGAGTCACCAACACGACATGTATCATACATGCTGCACATGCTGATTCCTTGTGCACTTTTCGACGATCCACCTGCCATCCCAAAACCATCAACTAATCCACACACCACGCCTTTGTTTTACCCGCCGAAACTGTTCAAACATGACATGGACACCTCAATCTCCAGATTCCGTAGATAAAATGTAGACAGCACCAATTCTCAGGTGTGCCTCCGGGCACATCCAACAGCGTCAGCTCCGCCCCACCAGGCGAACGGAGGCCATCCTCTCGTTGCAGCTCTTCGCAGGGGAAGCGTTCCAGGTCCTGCCACTGAACGAGTTGCGGGAAACATGATGAAACAAACGGAGAAAAAATGAAGAAAAATGAAAAATGCATAGCAGATGAAACCAGATGAAACCAGATGAAACCAGATGAAACCAGATGAAACCAGATGAAACCAGATGAAACCAGATGAAACCAGATGAAACCAGATGAAACCAGATGAAACCAGATGAAACCAGATGAAACCAGCCAAATCAGCCCAAGACATGCCATGCTCTGACAACATTTCGACATATTTCAACAATAGATGTCAAGATATGTCAAGTATGCTCGATGGATCTCGGACTTGAGGTTTGCTGGTCACATGATCAAGGATCTTGACATGTTCACCCCACTGTTTTCAGCCATAGCCTTGATACCTGAGCCATATCGAGCTATTACGGCTATGAGATCTATGAGTCCTTGCGTCTCTTCATCAAGTCTCGCTCATTTATGGCTCCAGTGGCAAGCATCAGCGCTCCCACCAGTGTTGATTTGCCTGATCCTGAAGGGAAGGCTAAATCAGGGGTTGCTGGAGGGTACAAGTGAAATAGGTTAAGCGTGCCAAGACTAAAGAGCCTTCCTGATTTTTGTGCATTCCATGAATGCTCTCTCTTTGAAGAGTCTTGTGTGCAAGTGACATTGTCGTCAATCTGGCCTTCGTCATCAACATACTCATCCGGTATTGGTCGAGACCGCAAAGTGAGCGTCATCATGCATCATCTCATGAATCTTCAGTAGTGTTCTTTTCCTTCCAAATCCCACACTGATACAAGTACTTATAATTATTTATATATATATATAATTTATATTAATTTATACATTCCCACTATTTCCCACTTCCGAACCTTCTCCAAACCTTAAAACCTCCAACCATCTCCAACCCCTCCTGCCTTGGTGTCCAAGCACCGCCACAGTGACCTGTACCTCTGCTGGCGCTGCTTCCCGCGCCAAGGCTGCGGCCGCTGCCGCCGCAGCCGCGCTGGGCGGCAGCCCAGCAGCAGCAGCCTTTTTAGCTCGCTCCTCAAACAGCGCGGAATGGGACAAAGCAACGGAGAAAACGGAGAAAACACTGGGAACATCTGGGAAGTACTTCATTCACTTCATCTTCAGCATATCAGAATCAATCTTCAGTACTGAAACTTGAGCGCCAACTATTCACAGAGTCACGAAACCAGCTTTGGGATCTTGTTGGCCATGGATGGCTGAAATGCCACGACTTGGGCCCGGAAAACAGTGCAGTATCCTGTTCCCAACGGAATTTTTTATTGTCTTAATTTGATATAATTTGTCCATAGCTTGTCGTCAATCTGCTAACACGCGGTTCGGTTTTTCAGGAACCTCAGCACCTGCTACCAAGAAACTGCTTTTTCTTTGATCTCTCGCCTGAAAATAACGAGTCAGCTGAAGTCTCTACAAAGTTATTGAGTCCCAGGCACCAGCTGATCCTTTTACAGAAACATTGTAGAATCCTTTTTTGTCGACATGCCCATAACTCCAGAGCCGCAAGACTACAGTATTTCATGTAATATCTAGAACAGGATGACGGAACGACTTTGCCAGCAGATTCATGCAAAAGATATCCTTCCCAAAAGTGATCTGGCAAATCGCCAAGTTGAGTCTATCGATATACCATATAGCAAAGAAACAACTCTCTACTTGCGGGTGCATACGTATGAAAAATGCAGTCGTCCTTCGCTGTTCTGCACGCTTCCTTCGCTCCTCCTTTTGCACCTGGAAAGGCATCATGACTGAGGCGTCGCTTCCAACGAGCCCACTTTGGTCGCTCTCAGCATAGCCCGCCCCACTGGACTTTCCCGGGTCAGTCAATTGCCAGGCCTCTTCCCGGCGTCGAGCTTCCTCCTGAACCAACATCTGTCTGCATCTGTCTGTTCCCCTCAGCCAGAGTGATTGCCCTTTTGGTCGGTAGTGATCAGTAGTGATGCAACTTAATCCTCACCCGACTGGTACGGCACGTCCTCAACATGTCCCACAATATTCATTGTCATTCAGTATCGTTCAGTCATGATTGAACAGTTTCGCATACAAAGTCATACAATACCTGCATCCCAAAGAACACAGCGCGCCCCACTCCTCTGTTTCTACTCTTGCTTCAAGCCTGCCTGAGTTTTGCCAGACAAGCGCCAAAGACCCCTGCTGAGAACTCGCTTGTCTGTGCATTCTTCCCTTCCTTATTCTCTGGGACAGTCTACTGAACCCCGTACATGCAGCTCCATTCATGGCGAATATGGGTTGCCTGGTCGCAAAAATAAAGGTCCCACAAATTCGTGGATCATATATTCATATGATTATGAAATCATCAAGATGTCTTATGATGTCTTATGATGTCTTGCTTCTTGGCAATTCTATGGCGATTCTCAAGGATTCCCCTAAAACATCCGCACAGCCGCCAAGAAACGCCGAAGCTCCTCAGCCAAACGCAACTCCTCAGCCAATCGCAACTCCTCTCGTTGTCGTTCCTCTTCTGCGCGCTTTGCCTGCAAAGGTCTCAAGACTTTTCGAGAACGATTCAGCCCCACCACACACCGGCAAATCAGGATGTCATGAATCTTGGCATTTGAATCTTGGCATTATCTTGAAAAACTTGGGAATAACATGGAATAACTGGGTCTTCTGGCCTCCTCCTCTGCTCTGCGTTTTTTCTCCTGACGCTCCCTCTCTTGCCTGGGCTTCGTACTAGCTGAGTTTTAATGTGAAGGTCTCAATCTGATACAAGCAATCAATCTTAACATGCTTGAATGACTGGAATGGGATCAATTCGGAATGGATGAGCACTAAGTCACTAAGTGCAAAAGGCCATGATTCAGCTTAAATCCTCAATTCCACACGGATCCTGAACTGTAAACCTGTCAACATATCGATCTTACGAGCTGCCAATAGGGAGGCCTTTTGTATTTCTTAGTTATACCATGTTATACCTAAGTCCTTAAACATCCTTAAACATCCTTAAGTCCTTAAACCCTCTCTGTTTGACATTTCCAGGTGTGTCTCATGACAGTTCTCTCAGACCAGCAACCGTCTCTGCTCGTCTTCCTGGCGCCTCAGAGCTTCTCGCTGCTTCCTTGCAGCTTCCTAACAGGGTCGGGTGATCGGGGTTGGTGGAAAAAAACGACCAAAACAGCTACAGCTGGAGAATGCTGGACCAATGCTGGACACATCCGTATCCAAAAATCCAAAAGTATCCAAAAGTAATTCTTACTGTGACCACTTCCTTGGATGTCTTCATCACAGACCTTTTCACATCATGCAACATCATGCAACATCATGCAGGGCATGAATCAATGGATCCAATGAAATTCCTTGGGATTTTTGATGCATCCAACGTGTAAAGCCTCCTGCTGTCGCCGTTTTCGTCGTTCTTCTCGAAGCATGGCATCCTCTTCCGCATCCTTTTGACGCTGAAGACGCAAAGCATCCTCCTGTTACTGCACAAGTCGAACGCATGTACAAAGCATCAAACAAGGGTAATAGGTCTGGGAATGAAATAATTACAGTAACTCAAAACATCTAGAAACCAGCGGGCTTTCGTGAGACAGTATCTACACTTGAAAAGATTTTGCGCGACCCCCGCAACTTCTTGAGAGACAAACGCACAAGAGAGGGGTCAAGCGATATTTGGAAAATGTCCTGGCCGCGTGGAACAATACGCCACGCGATATTCTGCCACAGCAAAAGACGTTCTGTTGGAATTCGCCAACAGTTGAGAAGTCACCCTCTCTCCAAATGTCTCTGTTGAAATATCTGCTCACGTTTCTTGATGTACGAAGATTAGTCAATCCATGTCAATCCAATCTCGCGACCGTCCAAGCCTTGTCTGCCTTCTCCTTTTCGGCCTTTCCTTGCCACAACAGGGGCACATGAAACAATCTCATCAGATATCCACCATTGCTTAGGGGCAGCACCAGAAATGTTTCAGCATGGAGACCAGCGATGCTGCTGACGAAACATCTTCCCTGTCACTCGTAGACGAACATGCTATTTAAAGGATGTGAGTGTTTTCCGATCCAAACCATCACCCACAGACTGCAACCAAGAGGCGCCGTGCAGCTCGCTCAGCCTGCTTTTTTGCCTCTCCCGAGCTGAAGGTTGCAAATTTCTCACATTGCATTACATCATATTACATCCTTATACTTCCTTTACCTTCATTGCCTGCATCGCTAAGGGATTCCTAGTTTCCAAGGCCGTGCCCATGTAACACTGTAAGATGACACCCCCTCGCCACTTCGGCCTGGCAAAATCAACTGCTTGCTTCATATGTGCTTCATCTAGACATGTCGTTGCAAGTCGTTGCATTTTTTCAGTTGCGTTTGTTTATCTGATTTGCAGCCAGAAATTGTACAATGGTTTTTGCTCTTTACCTGAGTTATTTTGCTCTGTACCTGATATGCTCTTAGTTTCTATGTTCTTCTATGCATTTACATGTCTGTCATGTTGCTTGTGTGCGTACGTGTCACTATATATAAATATTTTGCTGAAAATTAGCGGCAAAAACTAAAAATGCAAAAAAAAAAAACTCAATTTGACGAAATCAAGGCAGAAACTAAACTGGCAAATTGGCAGCCTAAGACTCCTCTCCAACCAGCCCCAAAACTCGTCTCAAACAAGCCACGAGGCTTAGCATCTACGTTGACTGCATCTATGTCGAAGGATCCACGTCTATGTCATGGCACCCACATGTTTGATATCATTTGATACCCTCGTTTTTGGGTATTTTTTGGGTATGGGTCTCAGGGTCTTAATACCCAAACAATGGTAAAACTTGGTAAATGATGGTAAATGTACATATCATTTCTTACTATCGCCTTCAACACATTATAATAGTAATTTATAATATATATTCTATATATATTCTATATATTAACGTTGTATCATTGATTGTATGCAATCATAATTGTATCATGAATTGTTCAGCGGGCTGCCCCGGTCGCCTCAGCCTCTTCGGCCTGTCTTTGTTCCACCTCACGCTGTGCTTGCTCCTGTCGCTGGTTGACGAATGACTTAATGAACGACTTAAGAAACTTAGGTATGGACAATATACATTTATAACATGTTCTAACTACATTCCAGGGAATTATTTTTTTGTAATATGTTATAGTTACATTCCAAATCATTCCCAAGTCTTTAACCATTGTTTCATAGTTGTTCATAGTGGCCTATCTTTTGTTCTACGTATATTTATCAGTCTTTATCTTTGCTTTCTTGTTGGACTTTTCATGTTCAGTCTCTGGGCCTTTCCGCTTCATCAGCGACATGTCTGTGTGCCCTTTGTCCTTTGCATTTTGATCTTCACGCAGCTTTCCTTGCCAACAAGACAACATTTGTGACAATGCAAGCCAATGACTGTATATAATATTACAATGAACATCCAATCAATATCAATCAATATTGTAATAATTGTTAGTTTCAATGTTATTCCAATATATCCGCCGACCCCGGCAGACGCAAGGGGGAGCGCGCCAGGGAATAAGACAAGCAAGTTTTAGCCGCACCAGCAGCAAGAGCAGCGGCAGTGGCAGCAGCAGCATGTAGCAGCGGCAGCAGCGAGTCCAGCACTAGCAGTAAGATAGCCCACTAGTCGGCAGCCAGGAGCCAGCAGCCAGTAGGCAGCAGCCGCCAGTCAGGAGGTACGAAGCCAGCAGCAGGCAGCCAGCAAGCATTTTTTGCTGCGATTTTGCGCCGGCCCCGCAGCAGCAGCCGCAGCAGCAGCAGCAGCAGCAGCAGCGGGCAGCTTGTTATTGCGAATGATTTCGCTCACAAGTAGCAGTAGCAGAGCAGCCAGCTGTTGGCAGGTGCTTTTGTTGCTTGTGCGGTCCACAAGTAGGAGTAGGCACTGTGCTGGCCACAGCAACTGAACAGAATGGACACGTGTACTGGTAGCGGCTCACAGCGGTTTTTGGTGGACCCTTCTGTGCAATTGGTGACATTGGAGTTTGTTGTTGTTGTTGTTGTTGTTGTTGTTGTCAGCAGCAACCAGCAGCAGCCGGCGTTAGGCAGCCAGCAGCAGCCAGCAGCAGCCAGCAACAGCCAGCAGCAGGCAGGAGCAGGCAGCAGCCAGCAGCAGGCAGCAGCAGGCAGCAGCAGGCAGCAGGCAGCAGGCAGCAGGATTCTATTTTCCGCCGACCCCGGCAGACGCAAGGGGGAGCGCGCCAGGGAATAATACATTTGGCTGCCTTTGCAGCATTAGCAGCACTAGGCAGCAGCATCAACAGCAGCCGAGCACTAGTACCCCATGCAGCATCAGCACAGCCCAGCAGCAGGAAGGCCATGTTTGACACAGTTTTTCTACGGTTTCAGACGACATGGACGACACGTTAGGCAGTTTTTGGGCTACATTTTGTCGCTGTTCCGTCCTTCACTGCCACTGCGTTTCCCTGTCCGGGAGGGCTGCCTTTGCAGCATTAGCAGCACTAGGCAGCAGCATCAACAGCAGCCAAGCACCAGTACACCATGCAGCATCAGCACAGCACAGCAGCAGGAAGGCGATGTTTGACACAGTTCTTCTACGGTTTTAGACGACACGTTAGACACTTTTTGGGCTCGATTTTGGCGTTGTTCCGTCCTTTAGGGCCACTGTGTTTCCCTGTCCGGCAGGGTGCGTTTTGAGCTTCGGGAGGAAGAGCAGGAGCAGCAAGAGGAGCAGCAAGAGGAGCAGCAGGAGGGTTCTATGTCTCATATGTTTCATTGTACAAACAATAGTACAAAAACTGGTCGAAAACTATTGTTTTTCTAGGGTTTCAGACGACGCGTTAGACACTTTTTGGGCTGGATTTTGGCGTTGTTCCGTCCTTCAGGGCCACTGTGTTTCCCTGTCCGGCAGGGTGCGTTTTCAGCTTCGGGAGGAAGAGCAGCAGCAGCAACAGGAGCAGCAGGAGGGTTCTATGTCTCATATGTTTCATTGTACAACCAGTGGTATAAAAACTGATCGAAAACTATTGTTTTTCTAGGGTTTCAGAAGGGACGTTAGGGAGTTTTTGGGCTCGATTTTGGCGCTGTTCCGTCCTTCAGGGCCACTGTGTTTCCCTGTCCGGCAGGGTGCGTTTTCAGCTTCGGGAGGAAGAGCAGCAGCAACAGGAACAGCAGGAGGGTTCTATGTCTCATATGTCTCATTGTACAACCAGTGGTATAAAAACTGGTCGAAAACTATTGTTTTTCTAGGGTTTCAGAAGGGACGTTAGGGAGTTTTTGGGCTCGTTTCTGGCGCCGTTCCGTCCTTCAGAGCCACTGTGTTTCCCTGTCCGGCAGGGTGCGTTTTCAGCTTCGGGAGGAAGAGCAGCAGCAGCAACAGGAGCAGCAGGAGGGTTCTATGTCTCATATGTTCCATTGTACAACCAGTGGTATAAAAACTGGTCGAAAACTATTGTTTTTCTAGGGTTTCAGAAGGGACGTTAGGGATTCCGTCCTTCAGGGCCACTGTGTTTCCCTGTCCGGCAGGGTGCGTTTTCAGCTTTGGGAGGAAGAGCAGCAGCAGCAACAGGAACAGCAGGAGGGTTCTATGTCTCATATGTCTCATTGTACAACCAATGGTATAAAAACTGGTCGAAAACTATTGTTTTTCTAGGGTTTCAGAAGGGACGTTAGGGAGTTTTTGGGCTCGTTTCTGGCGCCGTTCCGTCCTTCAGGGCCACTGTGTTTCCCTGTCCGCCAGGGTGCGTTTTCAGCTTCGGGAGGAAGAGCAGCAGCAGCAACAGGAGCAGCAGGAGGGTTCTATGTCTCATATGTTTCATTGCACAACCAGTGGTATAAAAACTGGTCGAAAACGGGTGTGAAATAGTTTTAGGATTTTTTTTTTGAGCAGGTTTGTTTTTTTTTTTGATTTCTTGGCTGGTACCATTTGCCTAGTGTTTGCAACGGTTTGGAACTTGAATTTGTCATTTTGCATGGTATTTGCCACATTTGGGCATGTTCACCTTCCATTTTGCATGGGATTTACTACATGTGGGCATGTTCACCTTCCATTTTGTATGGTATTTGCCACATTTTGGCATGTTCACCTTCCATTTTGCATGGGATTTCCTACATGTGGGCATGTTCACCGTCCAATTTGTATGGTATTTGCCACATTTTGGCATGTTCACCTTCCATTTTGCATGGGATGTTCTACATGTGAGCATGTTCACCCAAATATTTACAGATGCGGAAGCTTGGGATTAGATAAAAAGCGGATGGGGGGATTGAGGGAGGGCGCTAGCTATCTATCCAGCTAGCTAGCTATCTAGCTATCTAGCTAGCTATCTATCTAGCAAGCTAGCTATCTATCTAGCAAGCTATCTATCTATCTAGCTATCTATCTACCTATCTAGCTAGCTATCTTGCTAGCTATCTATCTACCTATCTATCTAGCTGGCTATCTATCTATCTAGCTATCTAGCTATCGAGCTATCTATCTAGCTATCTACCTATCTAGTTAACTATCTACCTATCTATTTAGCTATCTATCTATCTATCTAGCTATCTATCTAGCTACCTCATTATCTATCTAGCTATCTATCTATCTAGCTATCTATCTAGCCATCTATCTATCTAGCTATCTATCTAGCTATCTATCTAGCCATCTATCTATCTAGCTATCTATCTAGCCATCTATCTATCGAGGTATCTAGCTATCTATCTATCTATCTATCTATCTAGCTAACTATCTACCTATCTATTTAGCTATCTATCTATCTTGCTATCTATCTAGCTACCTCTTTATCTATCTAGCTAGCTATCTATCTATCTAGCTATCTATCTAGCCATCTATCTATCTAGCTATCTATCTAGCCATTTATCTATCGAGGTATCTAGCTATCTATCTATCTAGCTATCTATCTACCAAGCTATCTATCTATCCAGCTATCTATCTATCTATCTATCTATCTACCTTGCTAGCTATCTATCTACCTATCTTTCTAGCTGGCTATCTATCTATCTAGCTATCTAGCTATCGAGCTATCTATCTAGCTATCTATCTATCTAGCTATCTATCTACCTATCTATTTAGCTATCTATCTATCTATCTAGCTATCTATCTAGCTACCTCTTTATCTATCTAGCTAGCTATCTATCTATCTAGCTATCTATCTAGCCATCTATCTATCTAGCTATCTATCTAGCTATCTATCTAGCCATCTATCTATCGAGGTATCTAGCTATCTATCTATCTATCTAGCCATCCAGCTGTCTATCCAGCTATCTAGCTATCGAGCTATCTATCTAGCTATCTATCTATCTAGCTAACTATCTACCTATCTATTTAGCTATCTATCTATCTTGCTATCTATCTAGCTACCTCTTTATCTATCTAGCTAGCTATCTATCTATCTAGCTATCTATCTAGCCATCTATCTATCTAGCTATCTATCTAGCTATCCATCTAGCCATCTATCTATCTAGCTATCTATCTAGCCATTTATCTATCGAGGTATCTAGCTATCTATCTATCTAGCTATCTATCTACCAAGCTATCTATCTATCCAGCTATCTATCTATCTATCTATCTATCTATCTATATATCTATCTATCACATGTAATCCTGTCAGCTTTCCAGAGAAGGTTAGTTCGCAAAAACCAACTAATGTAACTTGGGTTTAAGTTTAAATTAAAAAAAAAGCGGGAGGGGGGGATTGGGGGAAGGCGCAGCGCCTCCCCCCAAAGCAGAATGCAAGCACCTCTTCTCACATGTTACATTGCTAGTTTTCAATAGAAGGTTGGTCATGTGATACTCAGGGATGTAAATACTGTGCAAAATGCATCTTACATGGAAATCAAGTATTTAAAGCAGGCAAAGCAAAAAAAAAAGCAGGGAAGCAAAAAAGCAGAGAAGCAAAGAAACAGGAAACGCACAAAAGCAAAACAGCAGAAAGGCAAAGAAGCAGGAAAAGCAGAAAAGCAGAGAAGCAGGAAAAGCAGGAAAAGCAGAGAAGCAAAGAAACAGGAAAAACAGAAAAGCAAAAAAGCAGAAAAGCAGAGAAGCAGAGAAGCAGGA